ATCCATCTCATTACTACAGCTCATTTCACCTCAGCTGAATGGGATTAAAACTCATTCAGACATCTAACACAACTGAACAAATGATATAATTATATTTTTTATGCGTCACAAGATAATAACAATCTGCTATGCTGATGAACTTTTATAAAAATTAACAGCTTTTTTTAAAAAAAATTATACTCTGAGTATAGTGTGACAATGCATGTAAATTAAAATGGTTTTGTTATTTTGCCCCTTATGACCCTATGGAAAGTCCTTGGGCTGTGCTGATTGGCTTGTTTTTTCCTACAGTACCCCAGAAAGAAAAAATCTGCCCAGTACTAAACCCAGAGATGGTACGTAGGTACACCTGCTCAACTGCTTGTTGAAGCAAATACTTAACCAGCCAATCATATGTCAGCAGCACAATGTATAAAATCATGCACATACAAATCAGGAGCTTCAGTTAATGTTAATGATAATAAAACATGAGAAAGGTGATTTAGGTGACTTAGAACATGGCATGGTTGTTAGTGTCAGTTGGGCTGGTATGAGTATTTCAGAAACTGCTGATCTACTGGAATTTTCACACACAACAGTCTCTAGGGTTAATGCGAAAAAAAGGAAAAAAAATCCAGTAAGCAGTGATTATCTAGGCGAAAATGTCTTGTTGATGGCAGATGTCTGAGAAGAACGGTCAGACTGGTTCAAGCCGACAGAAAGGCAACAGTAACTCCAAATAACCACTTGTTACACCCAAGGTATGCAGAAGAGCATCTCTGAATGCACAACATGTCGAACCTTGGGACAGATGGGCTACAGCAGCAGACGACCTCATTGGGTGCCACTCCTGTCAACTACGGACAGGGAGCTGAGGCTGCAGTGGACACAGGATCACCGAAACTGGACAATGGGAGACTGGACAAACATTACCTGCTCAGATGATTTATGCAGTGATACTCAGGTGGTAGGGACAGAATTTGGCGTAAACAACATGAAAGAATAGATTCATCCTACCTTGTATGATCAATTCAGGCTGCTGCTGGTGTAATAGCGTGGAATACTTTCTTACTTTGGGCCCCTTAGTACCGACTGAGCGTCGTTTAAATGCTACAGCCTACCTGAGTATTGTTGCTGACCAGTACCAAGATGGTGTCCCCTGTGGCAGACGTGTTTGCCCGCTCCGCTCTGAAATGCCACCTTTCTCTTGTTTTTTGTGTGTTTTCTATTCTTTTTGCACTGGACAAGTGTTGTGCCCTGCTAGCTTATAGCAGACATTTTCTTCAGGACTCCGCTGCCCTCTTTGCAGAAGAGAGCTGCCCCCACCCTCAAAGACCCCACACACCCCCAACACGGACTGTTCACACTTCTGCCCTCAGGACGGAGGAACCTCCTGACTTAACAGCTCCTTCTCCCCCACTGCCATCAGACTCCTTAACAGCCGACAGGAGTATGATTAATGGACATCATACTGCCATACCATACCGTACCATACTATCATACTACCTCATACTGTAATTTTTTGCACATTAAGCTCTTTTGCACATTACACTTAACAGTATTTATTTTTCTATTTTTTTCTATTATACTGTACCTCGGCATTTTTGTGTGGACAGCAAAATAAGAGTTTCATTGCACAGAGAAATGCAATATGCAATATGACAATAAACGCTTTGAATCTTGAATCACTATATGACCCCAGTCAGCCCAGCTGCTAATGGCTACTTCCAGCAGGATAACACACCATGTCACAAGCTCACATCATCTCAGACTGGTTTCTTGAACATGACAATGAGTTCACTGTATCAAATGGCCTCCACAGTCACCAGATCTCAATCTAACAGAGCACTTATGGCATGCAGAAGAATTTTGCATCATGAAGGTCCAGCCAACAAATCTGCAGCAACTGTATGATGCTATTATGTTATGATGGACAAAAGTGTCTGAGGAATGTTTTAAGCACCAACCTGAATCTACACCATGAAGAATTAAGGAAGATCTGAAGGCAAAAGGGGGGTCCAACCTGGTACTAGCAAAGTATACCTAATAAAGTGGCCAGTGGGTATATGCGCCACAGCCAGTGACATTTCTTGGTATATGTTATGTTGCTTATGGGGTAAATGCAGAACAGGGATCCCCAATGATTTTTCACGGAGGGACAAATCCCACACAAATGCACTGGGTCCAATGTCTCAAAAAGGGGGGGGGGGGGTCAGCTGTCTTTCTGTGTTTTGATCCAGACTGGTAAACTCTGAAGAAAACAAAATGGAGAAGATGCTAACCAGGGGTCAGAACCCACAAAAAACAAAAAACAGAAGACAGACACAGCGGCCTGCCATGCAGTTGTACACACGTGGTTCCCTGTCATAAGGTGACTGACAGATGTGGTGCCTTGTCATACGGTGACTGACGGACATGTTTCCCTGTCATATGGTGACTGATGGATTTGGTGCCTTGTCAGATAATGACTCTTGAACACAGTGCCCAGTAACATGATGACTGACAGATACGGTACCCTGTCATCCAGTGACTAATGGATACAGTGCCCTGTCATACGGTGACTGAAGGATACAGTGCCCTGTCATATGGTGACTGACAGACATGGTTCCCTGTCATATGTCAACTGATGGACACTTGGTGTCTTTTTCATAGAGTGACTGTTGGGCACAGTTCCCTGTCATATGGTGACTGAAGAATACAGTGCCCTGACATACAGTGACTCTTAGACACGGTGCCCTCGCATACGGTGCCCTGTCATACAGTGACTGATGGATACAGTGCCCTGACATACAGTGACTCTTAGACACGGTGCCCTCGCATACGGTGCCCTGTCATACAGTGACTGATGGATGCAGTGCCCTGACATACAGTGACTCTTAGACACGGTGCCCTCGCATACGGTGCCCTGTCATACAGTGACTGATGGATGCAATGCCCATTCATACAGTGACTGACAAATTTGGTGCCTTCATATGGTGACTGACGGACACACACATGGTCACACAATTACAGACACACGCATTGGCCTGTCGTACAGTTACAGACACACTGAGCTGTCAGTGCTCAGTACCTAGACCAGGGTTATTCAAATCAAGGTCCTCGAGGTCCAAGCACTGCTGGTTTTCCAGCCTTCCTTTACCTGTCAGTCAGGTGTGAAGCCTCTGACCAATCAGAATCAGTAATTATTAAACTACCTACCTGGGAGAACTGAAAACAAGGCCTGGATTTGGAATCGAGGTCCAGATTTAAAGAACCATGATCTAGACCTTTCGGTTTCCTTAATGCCAAAATTTGCACGCATTATTCAGTATTATTAAACCTGAGAAACCAAATGTTCAAACCTATTTTTCCTCAAACAACGTCCCCAGGCCAAAGTCCCAGCACTGAATTAATGCATGTTAAAATAGTCTCTTTTTCTTAAATGGCACCTCCTTTTCTGTTGTATGTAATGCGATTGGCTGTACGAAATGTGGACTATTATAGCAAATCTGTAACCCCAGTCTGGCATAACAAACAACTGTCTCAGAGGCAGACTGAATGCAGGCCATTTTAGAGCAATTGCTATAGATGTCTTACAATGAAAGGGCAGCTTGCTGAGCATCAAAAACATTTCTAATACATGGAGAAAATGAACTTGTGTACATAAAAATGCAGCCCCTGCTGTCTTGCAATTTTTAAAATGAGTGTGAAAATCCTGCCTTGTTTGCCTGCATGTTGCACCGTGTCCCTTGTGTCTAACTGCAGGCCACTGAATATGGCCTGTATATGGCTGATGTGACTATATAGGCCAGAGTATGAAGGGAATTCTCAGGTGCGAAGCGTGGGGATGGAAAGCAGGCAGTTGGGCCCTGATGTCCTGCCAGGTGTCAGCATGGATTGCGCACTGTTTCCTGTGCATGGCGTCATTAGCAAAGCATCTATGTAATGCATGGCTGATGTAGCCAATTGCACTTACGGCATGCAGAAGAATTTTGCATTATGAAGGTCCAGCCAACAAATCTGCAGCAACTGTATGATGCTATTATGTTATGATGGACAAAAGTTTCCGTTAATTAGGTGTACAGTACTTTTCCTACATGGTATAACATCACATCACCATAGACTGTTGTATAAACAACAAACTGGTTGATGCTGTTTGTGCCGCAGAAGGGCATGATGAATGACAGCCTACTTGTGGCTGATGAATGGGTAACTTTATTTTTTAACCAAACTCAAAAATACAGGAAAGAAAAAGGATCACAAGGGGTCTAAACAAAAGCAGATAAACAACATGGGAACTAATCAAGACACACTGGAAAGCTGGGAAACACTGGGACGATGCGTTGAAACACAGACAAATACACTCTAACACACATACAAAACTGACAGAGAATCCAGGCAAGGGCAGGCATATGTATACACAGGTCACAAAGACAAGACAAGGGACAGATATTGTGTGAACCATTACTAATTAGCCAAAGACTAGGGCTAGGGGTTACGAGGAACAGGTGAGGGTCAATAACAATCATATAGGATTCAAACACTCGGAGATACTGGGAACACAGAGTAACAGGATGGCCAGTGACACCTGCTGGCCAAATGGGGAAGCAGCACATGAGGCAGGACCTGATCCTGGCAGTTTAGGTATATGCCCTGTGATGGATCAGCAAGCTACCCAGTATGTGCTCTACCTTAGATACTATGCTACCTGGAATAGGCTCCCAGTCTGGAGCAGTTTCAAGCTCGATTGATGGATGGATGGATTTATGCATATTCTTCATTACTATTAAATCAGATCTTTCATACAAGTTAATGACTAATTTACGCTGCATGGTCGATAATCTGAAAACCAAGCAAAGTTAGTATACAAAGCATGTCGGTGTTCAAAACAGATGTAATGTTTTTCTAGATATTTTGAGATTCCCCCCCCTTGCTTTTTATGAATTAACGTGGTCAGAACTTGTCAGGTTAGGGTGAAAGTTAAAAGTCGCACCAAAATAACGCGAAGCTGAGTTTCAGACAGAGCTGCTTGGGTCCCTTACCTGGGGTTGCTGCGGTTCCAGTAGACGGCATAGCGATCTGCCACTGCCTGGGTGGACAGCTCCCGGCTCAAAACGCACATCAAGATGAGCAGAAGCACGGCTGCCATCACCTCCACCCGCAGCATCACACAACAGCGATGTCTGTCACTTACACCGGCGCATGTGTCACTTTTTCCCAAGCATTTATCTGGAGCCGCTACAGACGAGGACTGCGCGAATCGAGACTAGTGATTTTACCGAGGGACTGTAAAGAAGTACCGCTGTTCTGTATTCAATTGTAATTTAAGTCATAATGGTAGAAATCTGTGAAGAATCGTAAAGCCCCCAAGAAAAATTAAGTATGAAAAGGCGCCTACAGCAACAAGCGGATCCCTTTATGATGTTCCTGAAAGCATGGCACCCGAATGATGCAGCGAGCAATTTAAAACCCCCAAATTACAGATCGGGGAGTACTGTTAGCATGGAAAAACATTTTCCAGAAAACCGATACAACCGTCTGCTTGGACGAAAAACGCAGGCTGAAACGTACCAGGGTGAGATTAAAAAATAAAACGGTGCGCATCGCCTTCGATGAGTCGCGTCGGGACCGGATCCCGTCCCTCGGAAACTTCGCACGAACTGATGACCGGGAGAGCCTGACTTCGCAGCGCTTCTTCCCATTCAGAGAAGAGGGGAGGAAACGTGCGTCCGGTGCCCGGCTTTTACGAGCCACATGGAGCCGTCCGTCTCCTTCCTCTCATGTACTGTATATATGAGCTCCAGCACTCTAGTGACTGAGCGAGGAAAAGAACAAAATGACCGGCCATCCGTGAGACCTAATGGAGAGCAGATGGGGTCCATACCGCCGGCGGACACCCTTAGCCCCTCCCTGACAGGTCCTCCCCTGGACAGATACCGTCTTTATTCACTGCAACAATAAGGAAATGGGCCAGTGACACGGCTTCCCCGAGTCCACATCTTCTGCCACTTCATTAATAAAAGTTGGTGGGACATCACACGGCGGGTCCTGGATATATGGTAACTGTACATTATTCCTTTTCGTACACACTGTAAATACCTCTCTCTTTTAAAGAGGTCATACTCTTCTCAAAGGCAGAATTTAAGATTTGCATTTCATGTAAGCCATATAAATTTATTACTTGTTCTAATTATGACCATTGTTAGTAGGCAAGAAAGTGGATAGAATTAACATTTTTGAAGGGTGATGTTTCCAGGGAACTTACAATCTCCTGCAGATCTCTTAAAATAAGTCAAAATACTGGGAAAATGTGTTTTTCCTTCCCAATGAAGTGAAGCTGTGTTTGATTAATACAGTGTTCTCTGTACATAATACAATACAATAAAATTTGAACATGAAATCAACACATCACTAACCATCTTGAAAGTATGTGTTTGTTAGGATTATGTCGTGCGTACAGTTATGATTAATGTGCTATTAGGTTCAATGGCACACAAGCGCAAGCTAGTGGAATATGAGGAAACATTACCAGGAAAATACAGATTCGGCTAAAGGTACCGCTGTTGGTTTAACAGATTCAGAGGCATAGAGACAGATCAGGCAGGGGGTGCTGAGCTGGGGGGGGCCCCATGGCGGCGGCTGATTACATAATACATTGTCACAACCAATCTGCTTTATTTGTGTATCCTGTTTATTATTATTATTATTTAGACTTCACACCGAAATAATGGTAATAAATTTTACCACGTTGGGAGAGAGTGAATTGGAGGGCCCCAATGCATTGTTTTGCCTAGGGCCCTCAGAGTCCCTGGGATCGCCTCGGAACGAAATATGAAAGTATTTAACAGGACCAGGTATTGTACTGAGTGTCTTAGGTACTATACTGTATAATGGCCCATAATATCAAAAATCGAACAATCAGAAAAAGGAAGTGTGAAGACTTCAACATTAGCCAAGAAAAGTGTGGAGGTGCTGCACCTGAATATGCATGTGAGGCAGGGATGTGTGGAACGTGTGAGGCAGGGATGTGTGGAACGTGTGAGGCAGGGATGTGTGGAACGTGTGAGGCAGGGATGTGTGGAACGTGTGAGGCAGGGATGTGTGGAATGTGTGAGGCAGGGATGTGTGGAACGTGTGAGGCAGGGATGTGTGGAACGTGTGAGGCAGGGATGTGTGGAATGTGTGAGTGACCTCTTGGCCCAGGGAAAGAAATGTGTGGGTTCCTCTCCCTCTCCCAGTTCTACATGCTGGTTCCTGCAGGGCTGTGGGTGACAGATGGGGGGGCGAGAGCATGGCAAAAGCTGGCATAAAAAATAAAGCACAGAAATCTTCAGGAAAAGTTGACTTTCACTTTAACATTTTCCCTCTTGTGTGGTATGCAGATCCAATTTCATTATGGTATATTAGCTTCCATGTGAATTTTATATGCAACATAATGCAACCATGTAGATATGTAAACTGAAGAGAGAATCCTCCTGATTGTCTTACAGCAGAGGTTGTCCTGGGCTCCGTCTTCAGTCTTGGCACTTGGCTCGACCTGCAGCCCTACAGACGTCGTCCTGCGACATGGTTCCCTGTTGGTTCCTGCCCAGCAACATAAATGAGAGTCCAGTAACAGACCCAGCATCTCCCATTAAGAGGCTGTGTATTGATGGACAGGATCACAAAAATTGTGTCATAATCTATTATTACCCATCATTTTAATTTTCATTTTTTAATGGTAATAAGACATATTTTATATAATTTTTCATGATTTTGTTTTCATTTTTTCATAATTAATATACAGAACAAGCTTCGCTGTCGACTATGTATTTATAAGGGTATGCAGGGAAAGATAAACAGAGACACCTACTGTGCAATGTCAACACCAAATGAATGATTTTTTCCCCCGCAGTGACAGAGTAACATAACTTGCTCTGTAACATTAGTTGCTATCGGCTGATGAATGTTGTCAGTATAGGTGCTTTCCCACCGAAGTTCAGGAACCTAGTTCCAGATTCTGAGTTCCTGGGCCTTCTTGACCGGGAACTTTGTAGCTCCTGACTACTTCTGTGTGTCGCTTTCCCACCACACAACAGGAACCGGGACCTTTATGCTAAACAAGCATAGCAGGTGCAAAAAAGCTCGTAGGTTAAACTTCACACATAATTTCATACGAAACTACACCAACCACCCCAGAACAATGGAGGATGAATGTTAGTTATTGGGGGGATTGTTGCAGCCAAAAACACTGGATTTTGCAGCAGCGTTTCTCAAAACTTGCAGAGCACTATGTGGTTTTGTAGCAGAAAAATTCCAAAAATTGGCGAAATCGCAAGTTCTGTAAGAGACATATGCAATTGCTTTCTTTGTTTCCTTTAAAATGAGATATATAATAACAAATGCTCATGTTCACCACAGCACAGCCTAGCAGAAAACACGCATGAATGTGCACTGTGATGGTGTCACAGGAAATACTGAGGATGGAGTTTACTTGATTTTGTTTTCATTTATGCAGTTGCAGAATCTGAAAATCCTAGAATAACTGCATAATATATGACAATAGCATGAGAAAGCATACAATAATGACAAACTAAAGAATACTGTGCATTTTACAGGGAAATTCTGTCAGCTATACAAGTAAATATCTACAAGTAAATACTGTGGCTTTACACCAGCGGAGCTCCTCTTACTCCATCTGTACTTTCCGATCAAACTTCACCATTGTATGGCTCTGCCATTACCCTCAGTTACTGCAGCTGATAAACACTGCAGATTATCAGAGGGATCAGTGCAGTTTGCAGGTTCCCTCATAAATGTTAATCCAGAAGTAATGCATCCACCCAGACTACAACGTGTACAGGATGCCAGTCATATACTACTCACATTAAGATTAACTTTATTGATCCCCGGGGCAAATTCTGCTGCATACTGCAACAAGAACGTATTGCACAGAGGAATATACATATACTGTCGAACAGACAAGGCATAGAGACAGTAAAACACATACAGAATCACATGTGTGCCTTGGCGGATCAGAGGTCTGGAGGGACCTTGATACTGAGGCACTGCTGGTCGGATTAAGGTGAGTCAGTGCAGGCGGCATGAGGCTCAGGCGGCATGAGGCTCAGGCGGCATGAGGCTCAGCAAGCTAATCCTCTGGGCCTGTGATTGGACAGTCATCCGTTTGAGCCTGTTGTTGGCAGAACAGTCATATTTCTGTGGGCTTTTGAGCAAGGTCCTTAACCCCCAGTACCACGGGTGCCACTCTAGCCCCCCCCCCCTTTGCTGCCAAGCTTGCTGTCACCTACATGTGTATAATGGAGGGTAAGATGGGGTAGACACAAAGAGAATCTCCCCGCAGGGTTTAATAGAGTGTCATTGTTATTATTATTATTATCTTATAGTTATGCCACCTGGTGCGCCCCCATGGGAGCTGTCTGGCCACATCCCACTGAATATGACTGTGACAGTCTAGGCAAGTTATGTTGTTGTCATTCCACACAGATCAATCAAAATTACGTTTCTATATAGCAGTACACAGCCAGAGCCAGGAAGAGTTGAGAAATGAACACCAAACAATCAACAAGGGGGAGAATAGTAAACAGTAAAATTAATTAGAAGAAGAATTCAAAATGAAAGCAGAATTTAAAAACAGCACACAATATGCAACAATGGCAGTGCAAATAATAAAAGTAAACAGTGCATGTTAGCAGACTGGAAATAACAGAAACAGTGCAGTGCAAACGTGCATTTTCAGCATTTAAGGGGTAGGTGGGAGTTGAGAAGTCTGGTAGCCTGGGAGAGAAAACTGCGGCAGATCCTGGTGATGGTGGACTTCAATGCCCTGGAACCTTTTTCCAGTTGGAAGGGGGGGTGAACAGGCTATTTTGATGGGTGTGAGGGGTCATATGTGATGGAGTGGGCTCAGGCGATGCAGCAGCATATGTCAATGCGGGTGGGTAGGGACGTTCCTATGATCTTCTCTGCTGTCCTCACTATTCACTGGAGGCAGTTGCGGTTTGAGGCTTTGTAGTTCGGCTAGCTGGTTTGACTCCAGCCTATATGTAGTTTCATCATTGTTGTTGATCAGAGCCACCACTGTAGTGTCCTCAGCGAACCTGATGATGCAGTTCAAGCAGAACAATCAGTGTGTCATCAGGGTGAATAGCAACGGGCTGAGGAAACATCCCTCTGGGGCACCAGTACTGAGTGTTACTGATCCTCATATTATTCCCTATCTGGAGAGACTGAGATCTCTCTGATCTCCCTCTCAGTCAGAAAGTCCAGTGTCCAGTTGCAGAGGGTTTTTTTGAGGCGAAGTGCATCCAGTTTCCTGATGAGCTTCTGTGGGACAATAGTGTTGAATGCTGAGTTACAGTCTACAAACAGCATTCTCACATAGCTGCTCTTGTGTTGCAGGTAGATCAGTGCTGGATGGAGGGCACTGGATATGTGACCTCTGTGGGCCGGTGTTCATTCATTTTGTGGATGTAACAGCAACTAGACATTTTTTTTAAATCTGAAACTATGTAATTAGCAATAAAATCATTTTGACTTATCATAGTGCGTAAAATTAATAATTAATTTGGTGGCATTAACCCCAGAACAAAAATAGTGCGCTGAGAGCTTCATGGAATGGGCTTCCATAGCTGAGCAGCTGCATGCAAGCCTCACATCACCAAGTGCAATGGCAAGCGTCAGATGGAGTGG